GGAGGCATTGTTAGATGGATGAGAGCCTTCGCTCGACTTTTGAAGTGTTCTGTGCATGAACTTGCCAGAGCCGACTTTCCAATTCTGCAGGCCCCATGGTTAGAGCATTGTGCTACACACCAGCTGTTTGCAAGATCCAGTACATTGTTGCTTTCATGGGCATGCACTTCTTCAAGAGCATCAGTCCCTGTCAGCAGTGTGGCATGTCGCTGCGGCTGATGGCATGGAAAAGAGAACACCGTGAGAGTTGCCGACTTGTCAGGTCTCTTTCTATCTATCTATCTATATATATATATCGATGTAAGTGTACAAACATATATATATATGTATGTAATTATGTATGTTGCTATGTATGTTTGTATGTCAAATGTTTTGGAATACTGCATGTATCAAGCTATTTATGTGTGCAGCTTCCCACTGCATGTATGTATCTATATATATATATACATGTCTGTATGTATGTATGTACCTATATGGTATATGCATCATTGTGTGTGTCTGTGTGCATTTGTGAATGTGTAAAGTACAATTATGTGTACTGGTAGATCAGTAGATAAGAAGTTCATGTGCTTATAAGTTTAAAAGTAGATGTGCATCTAAAAGTCAACATGTCTATTTCTATGTGTGCATGTGTACATGAATATATATATATATATAGATACATGTATGTATTTGCATGTATGTACACATGAATGCTGTGGTTGATGCTTGTGTTTGTGTTTCTATTTGTAGGAGTGTTATACATGTCTATATGTATGCATGTTTGTATGTAAACATGTTTATATTATTGGTGCAAACATATTTATGCTTTTGCATGTATGTGGATGCATGTAAACTGTCTGCCACAAGACATGATAGTCGAAGCTCGAACATAAAGGGGATGACTTGTATGCTGGAATGTATTCATGTACACAGCTTCCTCGCGCAGGTGCTCGGGTCATTGAGAATGTCCTGAAGACCTACATCGCCCCTCGGTGTTACATGCTGAGAGAAACCACGCAGGAGTGCATACACTGTTGTCGAATGCAGATGTTTAAGTAAGGCTCACAATGCTGCTGAAGCTGCCACCATCGCATTCGATAATGCGCAGACAGTGGAGGAAGGGGATCCATGGCAGAGCACATTTGTCCAGCTGGTTGCACCAGTGACAAGGAGACTGTGTTTTTAAGCAATGTGCAGGCCCTCGGCTTCATGCTACAATGCCCGGTGAGCATGAAGACTGTGGATTTCCCTGGAGGTCCCAAAGCCCACCCTGTTCTTTCGATGCGGGACTTAGCGATGGAGCTTTTGCGAAATTATCCGAAGTTGCTTTTTTTTGGCCATGACTATAAAGATTTGAAGCGAGTTGAAGGATCATTGGCAGAATTCTGGGCCCGGTTCCGTCACACGTGGCCTGGCCATGATATTTATATTACTCACCGGGACAACTTGTCGCGATGCATTCCAATCAGAGTACATGCCGATGAAGGAACATCTTTCCGGCGAGCTGCTATTTATCAGCAGAGCTGGGGCCCCGTTCTGAAAGCAGGGGCAGCGAGTGCAATGCATTGCTTCTTTTACACGGCAATGTTGGCTGATGATTACAAGGCTGCAAATGGGTTTGGTTCAATTGCATATC